GGATCAGATAGGCGTATGTGGAAAAAACCTCGAGAGGCGCATCGAAGAGAGATCGTCAAGTTGGCAAGTGGGAACCAATCGCATTCCGTGGTGCCGCCTGCTCCACACCACCACTCCAACGTGCACACCTGCCGCGTGCCAGCCTGAATGGCGGTGAGTTGAGGAGAGGCGGAGTGGCATTTATAGTCCTCGCCTTGCTTCACTGCCACACACTTCGTGGTCTCTTCAACTCAGGTGAGTTCGTTACCTTGTGTCTGTGCCCAGTCGTGGTGAGGGCCAACTCGCGTCGACGCCTTCTTTACCTCTTTGTCCTCAGCAGTGTCTGCGGGAGTATGTCGTGTAGCCTGCACCTCCTAATCAAAATCCCCAGCTACATCCTCTCTGTAAGCAATAAATTTGCGGTGGTTTTTACCCATTTTTTTCTCCATAACGGATGCTGAATCTTTTCTCTCTCTCTCTCTCTCTAAGGTGACCTTCCTTGCCATAGCATTGCTTGGCATTGCTCTGGAGGGCTTCAATTCAGTGGAAGGAGCGGTGATAGCGAAGATGCTGGCGGACTTTAATATGAATAGCTATGATTTAGGCTTTCTTACCCGCGTGGCCTCCCCAAATGGTAGGTGATGACCTCTGCGAGGTGCAGCAGCACCCTGGCCCCTAACGGAGCCTCTTTTCGATTTAAGATAAGAAGGTGATGCTTCGTCACTTCCCTTAGATCACACCGGTGCTGCTCTCATCGTGGTCGGCCTATTAATGACACTCGTCTCCTTTATTGGATTCTATTCTTACTACTTTGAGGCGAAGGTGCCACTGTACATAGTAAGTAGACTGCTTTGGAGGATGGAAGGAGGTGTAAATTAATTACAGTAAATATTTCGACTTTTTTATTGTCCCTCGTTGTTGCACCTTTTTCATTTGATACTCTCTTGCCTCCTATGATGTTGTTGATGAGCATTGTGGAGGCGCTTAAAGAGTACAGCCAGGACTGGCCAGACGGTGAGCAGAAGGCGTGTGGTGCACGGACGCTCCGAGCGGATAGTTTTCTGCCCAAGCATATCTGCCTCGATGTTTGCTTTGCTGAGAGTACTGTCGAAGCTACCGTGGCGTCCCTACACTCGCCAACTTCACTGCTCTCCTCCCATTGCCTGACCTCGATCTGTAATGATCTACGTAAACTGGTTGATTTGTCCGTCACGGCGAGAGCGAGTTGCTGCTTTTTAAGCAAAAGTTTAGGCTGGGAATGGAAGAGTGGACATGGTAATTCCAGATGAAGTCTTGCAGTCACCTAACGATGCCTATTTTCCTCTTTTCTCGCCAGTATACCACTGCTCTGAATGTCCTACTCTTCTCGGAAGCCGTCGTTATTGCAGTATATATGGCCAATCCGGATAAGCTCGTCACTTCGTTTTGGGGTACTTTGGAAGCAATTCTTAGGAAATACAATCATCCGGGTGAAGATGGCCCAAGTTTAAAGAGTTGCTGGGATACAATCATGCAGGTATGTACCCCGCAAACACGTTAATTTGTGCCGCTTTCTTCATCCCTCAAGTTGGTATGACAGGTGGGGTCTGCCGACCTTCTTCTTATTTTGCATGACAGGCAGATGTGAAATGCAACGGTCACTTTTACGGTCCATGCTGTGGCATGAACAATTACACCGATTTCGGTGAGTTAGTTTGCACCTTTCGACCGACCACTCCTGCTTGGAATTGGGCAGGAATTTACATCGTTATTTCAGTTTCAGACTGGCCGTGGACGCTGCTGCCCGACGAATGTTGTAAAGACACGTATCTCTGTACTACATCAAAAGCGCACAGAAGTGGGGTGCCAGGATGCAGGGACAAAATTACTGTATGTACCACAAGCAATTTGAAGTACGTACTGAGCATCGCATTTGCTACACTTCTTCTCCAGGTGAGTTACGAACCCGTCCTCTCTACTCGCCTTTGCGCCGGGGAAGAGTTGGGGCGGAAATGATGGCGAAGCTTTTGTCCGCCTTTCAGTGCGCTGTCGCCCTGTTGCCGATCACCTACGTCTTCCTCGTGAGACCGCACCAAGAGGACGAGGAGGACAGCGGTTACGCCTGAACCCCCCACCCCCTCCCCTCCTCTCTCTCATTCACACTAACGATCGTCCACTTGTTCCGCATAGACTGTCATCGCTTTCGTTGTTGATAATTTGAAAGTACAGGAGTTGCGTGGAGACTGGGACGTGAATTGGTGCGGTGCAACACATTCAAGAAGGCTTCCAACCTCCAGCCAAGTCGAATTCGCCAGTTTCGACTTTGCGTGAGTGGATCCGCGTCAGTTGAAAGGCGACGCTCACATGAACCCACACTTTTGGAGGCAGTTACATGCCATGTGACGGCTTTGTTAACAAGACGGGAGAGGCGCAGCGGTGTTACTAGGCACACAAACACAGCTTCTGGAGGAGAGCCCTGTGAGTGCGTCACCTTAGTTGGAGGCACTGCCTCTAAAAATAGACCGCTTTTTCATTGCCACTATGACTGATGCCAATTTGGTGGGTGGATTGTGTAAGCACTCCCACCTAGTTGAGACAGCTTCATACACCTGTCAAGGGGGCCTGCGAATTGTTCCGAGGTGGCTCTAGATGTAGAAGTTCGTAACAATTCCATGGGTTAGTCCAGAGGGGGTCGTTATGGAGGTAACTTTTGGCAGGAGTAAGCAAACTCAATTTTAAGGAACACCTCTCCTCATTTCTATCGCCTTAGCGGGACGGCAGAAGTGCATGTTGTGTGAGTGAAAGAATTGGTGACGACTGGAAATGTAGGGGTCGGCAATCACCCCAGCTACTAACAAAGGGAACGTAACCAGACGTAGAGCTTCTAGAAAAGCTACGCCACCGAGTTGTTTGCCCTGTCCGCATTAAGATATCGATAAAATGAGCCCGAAATACCTCTATCACTTCTCTACTAGCTAGATGGATATAATTTGGGCAGCTCTGAAGTGATAACAGGTGACAAGCCAAAACTGAAGTGAAAGCCTGCCCCCACAAAACTGTGTTGAATCCCGACCTCCCTTGAGCAAATATGAAATTGGATCAATCTTTCTTCGTCTAGCCATTAATACTCGTGATGCCCATCGCAGTTAACTTGTCGATGTTTTCCTGCAGAACTGATTATATTTTGATGCCTAACACTGCTGGCGACGTTTAAAAGGGGAGACTGGCTATGCGGCACTTTGAGTGATTGTTTAACTTTTTGGTTTTAATAAAGGGCCGCCTTGCATTTTGGTTATTGTACCTTTGCCAAATGGGTGGTTTCTACGCCATGCCAGTTTCCTCAGTCTCTTCCGTATGTTAAACATTACTAGTCCGCACGAGTATTATGTCTTCTTTCGTCTTCACGAAAGCCTCAGCCCGATACACATCAGTAATCTGCCTGCTCGAACACGAATAACTTTTGCTTTGTAAGTTTCTTTGAGGGCTGATATTTTAAAACATTATGGTATAAGAAAAGCTGCATAATGTTATTGATCACTAGTGCTCTTTTAATGGAAATAAAACCCCTGGATTGGTAGCTAATGAGGAATTTTCATTACTTTCTTGCCTTCACACAGTATTCTCTGATTTTGCACATTGTTAATTGGCAAAAGCTTACATTTAACCTTTGTTTTTATTAGTTTACCAAAAATTATTTGGGTCATTTTTAAAACATCTAGTTATATTTAAGTGGGTCATTTACTTCAATACTCCTTACTGGCGGCAGTTGCAGTTTTAGTGGGATAATCAGCTGGGTGTTTGGGCAGGCAGTGGTCCTTTTTTCGATGGTCGGATCAGTCAAATCGGCGCACAGTACTTCCCTTTTGTAAATCAAACTACGTGTTTTGTCTTTTAGGCAAGTTTCGGCGAAAAGCTAGTCGTACTACTGTGGATGAAAACCTTCCTCCAGAGCCCACTTCTTTACAACCTCTTCGGAGATCAAAGCGACTTTGCGTGCGCCTTTTACGTGAAAATGGTTTCTCTGGTGGTTAGTTTTAAGCGACAGCTTAAAAGAGAAAACTTTATTACTGACTCTTCTAATTAAATGCCTTATTTTAAGTTAGACTCGATGAAGGCTTCATCAACGGAAGTCGTTTCGAGCGAATTGGAGTCTGACACGGATTTTTGTAGCCCAAATCGACTCTGTTCTAATTCCAATTCAGATGCTGTCGTTACAGCGCCAGAAGATCCTATTCAGAAGAGGAAAAAGACAAGGATTCGCAGAAAATCTCAAGTTCGTCCTTTCTTTACCATCAATTGCCTTTTCCTAAGTTACTAAACAGCCTTATTGATTACTGCTTTGTTTGTTTATTTTAGTAAATAAGTGTCTATTTGTTTGAGTGATACTTGTCTAATTGAGTGAACGATTTCTGCTTCTGCTCGTTCACCACTCACACTATCAGAACTGAGGTCAACTCAATTTCCCCACCTCAGATAATCTTTTTGTGAAAGCTGCAGCATTTTTTCAATTCGAAGTATTAAGACTTATTTTGCTTTTTCCACTTCAGAATTTGGATGACAAAGGAGATATTCGTCGCTCCAGGAAGCTGTGTCGGAAGTCCTCTGTCATGAAACCTTCCACTGAAGGTTAGTTCTTTTCCGTCCATCATGCACACATGTGACGCCTGGATTCTCTTGCCCAGGTCGATACGTCACCAATGCGCGACCTATTTCATTTACCTTCTCATAAAGCTGTGATTGTCCGTAATTATTTCTTGTGAGCTAAGGTGATCCTAAACTAATAAAACGGATGCGGGACGTCCTCGGCCTGGCCGAAGTCGATGGAAGTGGGTGTTGCATTGGAAAGATTAAAATATCGGAGTGGTAGCGAATGTACTTGTTGCTGTTGGACTTCAGAGCTGCTAGTATGACTTATGTCGTTCCATCCTGTTGAATTTCATTTCAGTTCGTGGAATTGTTTCTTAGATTCTCGTCTAGAGTCCATGGAGGTGGATGGTGGGAATGAGTTCCCCACAATGAAAGAGTTGAGGGAGGCAATTATTGAAATATTTGTCTCTCGCCAACACGAATCACCTGGAGGCGCGCAAACTCTTCCTGGGGTGAGCTGTGTGTCGATGTGTTATTTTGCCTAGATTTGATGGTACCCTTTCTGTTCTTTACGTCCTCCTGAAGGGGTGCGTTTATCCAATATGGGATTAAAGTTCTTTTACCTCAAGTCTGCGTATGCTTTAAAGCTGTCAGAAGTGATCACATCACTGGTTATCGCCGGATGTAGATGGGACCACTTCTAGGCTAGAAGCCGAGTTGCTAAGCTATCAGCCAGCATCCATTTTTTCATTACGGACCTTTTGTTCCTTCTTCTTTTTGGGCAGAAAAAATATGCTTGGCTGTTTGAAAAATTCACCCCACCGCCAATCCGCGGTCTGGAAACCATCTCCGAGGCTCGTCTATCTCCCCGTCAATGTCGTTGTCGTCAGCGACGATTCTTGGCTCCTCCCACACCAAGAACAATGGCTACCCGCAAGCGACCCCTTCATGAGGAGTCAAATAGGAATGAACCAACAGAAGATCGAAGTCAGGATGCCTTCTGGTCTAAAAGAGCGCTTCCACGACGACTATCATTCGGTGACTGGGATGAGAGTGCTTGTTATTCAGAGGATAATGTAGATGAAGATCTCCGGAAGTTCCACGAGGCTGCTGCGAAGCAGAAGGCGCGGAGGCGGGAGGCGATGCTGCGGCAGATGAATAGACGACCCGGGGAGTTGTTGCGAATCTCTGATCAGACCGAGCGGAAGTTTGCGGCCTTTTGGAAGGATATGGAGAGTGAAGAAGGAGGTGAGGAGTAGGCATGTACAGACTGTAAAACTGATAACTTAAATGCGAGACATACTTTTTAGTGCTTTTTGGGTTTTTTAAAGTGAATTTAAAGCCTATGAATGGAGCTGGGATGGGTAACTGGGTCCAGAGGAGATGGATGGATTTGGAATGAATGGATTAATCCAGTAGGGATGAGCACATGGATAGGATTGGGAAGGACAGATAAATCCGGGGCGAGCTTTCAGCATTGAAGACTGCTCTCAAATTCTAGATCGGGTGCGAGGGGCGATTGCTGATGTGTCATTTGGGAAGACTCTGCTTCACAGGACTCCACCTCGACGTCGTCGGCTCAATTGCCGGCGTCGCTTGCCAAAACGCTAGTGGGATGCAAAGCTTTCTCAATCAGCAGAGCGCTTTTGTTAAGGCTAAAAAACAGCTTCAAGGGTAACTCAGGGATTTGCGCCACTTACAAACTCCAAAAGTACACCTCAAGAGAGTTGAACGGCCACAAGCAGTTTGTTGACTTTCTTCTCCTCAATTGAGAAATTGGAATTTATGGGAGGAGGGTACATTAAAACGAGCGCCCAATGGCATGTCGATCCTGATTAGTTTGAACGAATAGGAAGACAGGAGCGTGGCCAATCACCTTACAGCTCTGCTGTGATTGGTAAGTTCTCAGGTGACTACATTTTGATTTGTTAAGGGCGTCAGAGGAGGAAATCTCGGGGTCAGGGGAGAGGGAGGCTTTAAAATAGGGTGAATATGCATCCAGATGTCCTCCCATCTGATAGGTTTTGCATAAAATTATCCTTTTATCGATCTAATGGCACAGAAACTGGGGTGGATGTTGAATGGTCGCCGTTGGTAGCTTTGTGTCTTGCTTGATAGGAGTCAACCGCTCCCCGACTTAAACTTTGCGGCATACTTTCGGTCGGAGAGCCGTTGTTATTTCACCACCTCATTATTTGTATCAGCCTATCCGCATGTAACGTCACATAACTTGTTGCAAAAACCGTCGTATTTGCCTCTAAGTTCCGTCCACAAGCCAAAATGTGGGTGTTAATGATCACTTTCTATAGGGGGCGTCTACAACTCCAGGAAACGGTCTCCAATTTCGTGGTTGCTTATACGGTCGCCCTAGAAATCACCCTATCGCCCCATCCGGCTTGATTGAACGAGACCACATCCGGGCACCCCTCTTGCCGCGTCAGCACGTTCTTTAAGGTCAAGGTCAACTAATTACTATAAGCGCACGTGACTGAAGCATCTGAGACATACAGACGGGGTCGCCGCCCAGTCTCGCTCATGACCTTACCCGCACACGTCGGCCGATGAGGTCATCAGTGGTGAGGCTATTGCTTAGCTAGCTCGGAGTTGACCGCATTCAAAACCTGATGAGCAAAACAGATTGGAGGTCAGCATAGTCGTGCACACGCGGACGGAGTTGATGAGGTGAGGAAGTGCAAGATGGAGAGGGGGATTATTTGCATGAGGATTTGTCAATTGTACAATCAAAAGTACGGCACAGACGGAAGTCTCGACTGCCAAACTTGATTTGAGAAATGGATTTGGCTTCTTTGCCAGTAATCAAAGGTGTCACTGACCCCGCTAAAACAGCGCCTTTGCCACCCTCAATGTCAAAGAGTTTAATTCTGTGGAAAGAGCGGCGACTTATTTAAAAGGTCTAGCATTTAGTGGGTGGAGGAGGGATGGCGATTACCTCCGAAATCGAATGGAAGCCCCTCGTGTTTGTTAGCCTAGGCCAGCGGAAGCGTTACAAACAAGTTCATTAAGTAAAAAAGCAATTACTACTTAAATTAAAAAGCAGCATTGTCACAGTGTACAGTCAGTTGTGCGGAAGGGAGGAGTTCCGCCTTCTTTTCCACATTTTCCACCAGTATCAGAGGTGAAATCCACGAATGAGATGAGAGAAGTGTTGTTCACCGCCTCATTTTGACTAATGAGATCAATGCTGAGAAGCAATACCAAAAGAGGGCCGAAGGACAAGCGCATCGTTGACTCGGTCAAATCGGCAAGCTTGACGAATCTCGGAGCGATTCCACAGCTTTGCAAGTCAGGACGCCAGCAGGCCAAGAACTGGAGGAAAATTTAAGAGGTCTTTAAGACAATTGCTGCCACCTCTTTATGCGCGGCTTGGGCGTGCGAATTAGCCGCTGCTACTCTCCTTCCATCTCCGCTCTTTTGTTGTGGGCTAGACCTCGACAAACTGGAAACACGTCAGCCCTCACGACCAGACGGGAGTGGTGGCTACCCTCCCAACGCAAATGTAAATGCGCCTATCTCTCAGGTCTTCCTCACACTTTCTGGACAGTGGGTTCTCCACTTACCGTGCCTTCGGAGGGGGAAGTTAACACGCGGTGTCGTAGAGCTGACAAGGCCAAATAACACGCGCCAAATTCTTCAGTGGACGGACGACAGGCCCCGTATGGGGGCTGAGAGCGTTCAGAAGAGAGGATGGGTGTGGGGGGGAAGGAGGTAACACAGCACTGGTGGCCCATAAACAGTGGTGTCCACTTTGCAGGCCGACAAAAACTGCACCAAGCCTAGGCAATGCCAACTGAGGTGTGCGTTTCAGTCACCTGATCACGTGATGTCTCCTCGATCTACACTAGGCAGCAGTTTCGCTGCTCTCCTCCCTTCTAAGTCGAAATCGCCTCCTTGTTCCCACTTCGACGTCGGTTCTGGTGCGATGGCCTCCACCTTAATGTTCGGAGGGACGCAGCTTAGGATTTACTTCCTTCGGGGGAGGGGAGGAAGGAAGAGGGTCTAGACCCCCTCCAATCGTCATTTAATTGTGCCTGCGATTTTCTCTCCCTAAGGCAGTGCTAGAGTGATAACAATAGCAACGTAGAACAGGGAGAGAGCAATCCGATGTTCGCATCCGCGCGTCAGTCCTTGCAAATCAGTTCTTAGGTGTGGAATCCTCATGCACAACCACTCGGCCATCGGTCAAAGAACCCGATGCATGTGATTCCGACTAGTGTGCCCTACGATACCGCGCGTTATCTCGACGCCAAAGATGAGGAAGTCAGCTTCCCTTAGATCTCTTCGTCAGCATAGCGCTTGGGGGAGGAGGAGTGCAGCGAGTGTGCGCCAAAGCACACTGTCCAGAAATGGTGAGGAAGCACTGAGAGATGCGTTTATCCACATTTGCAGTGGGAAGGAGAGCCACTCCTCCCGTCTGGTCTTGAGGGCCAACGTGTCACTAGCAGTGGAGAGAAACAAAGACTGTGCATGTGTGTGTGCGAGGAACTTCCAGTAGAGGTGAAAATATGCAGGACATGGACATCCACTACTTATGAACTGGTCCGCCATAATGGCATGCCTTGCCACACCTTCGAGGAATGATCCATGGAAGCTGCTATTTAATGATACACTGAACCATAAAAAATCAAACAAATCACTTTCAAACACCAACCAACAGCGTCCAATCATCAGATGTCACCCGGCTAGCCAATGAAAGCACAGCACCAATAAAAAACAAGATCTGATTAACCGATTCAGAAGGAGAAGAAGGTCACAATTGTTGTCGGTGTGGCTAGACTTGGAACAACCGCACGAGTGATGCCCGCCTCCATACCTCAAATATAATGCCAAGAAGCAGTACCACTAGAAGTTGCTTTAACCGCAAACGAAGGAGCTACAAGTCATGGCTGCACCACCTTCGAGGTGACTAACTCGAGGCAAGGAACAAATTCAAGACCACTCCAATGAGGACCTAATTGCGAGGTGGACAGCCTGTGCTGTCGCATGTGACTAGATACAGGAGAACCTCGGAACACGAAACAGGAAGGGGAATTGCGCCTTTTTTCAAACTCATGTAGTTCTAGCAATGCAAAAAATACGAGGCAGTCAAAAATCCTTCAGCCAGGAGAGAGAGCTGACTTTACGGGGCATTGATGGTAGGAGGAAAAAATGGACATAAAGGCCGCTTAGTAGTAACAGCAGTGGAGGCAACAGTAACAAAAAGAAAAAGAAGGAGAAAAAGGCCTTAGGAGGAGGAAGAGGCATCCGAACCAGGTGAGAAAACGAGCGTCAATTGTTATGGGTAATTTACAGACCAAAGGTGGCACGTACCTCTTTCTTTACCAGAGATTTATTGGAGCAAAAGGGAACTACACTCATCACAGGCGAAATTAGAAGCAATGTCTATCCCGAAGAAAAAAAACCGGAACACCTCAATCACAATCGTAAAAAAAACCGCCAACAAGGGAGAGCAACTGCCGATAAGAAGTCCATTGACTCGGGAGACAACAATAATGACACCCCTGTCGCGAATTTGATGCCTAATTTATGCGAAGACGGCGCGAATCCAATCAGATAAGCCATTGATACACCAACGTTGAGACCCTTCACAGCCATTGGCCTGCCCCAAGGTCACACTAGAGACAACCAATCAGAGAGCAGAAGGGGAAAGACACGCGCGGCAGTCGAATAGGTTGTATTTCAAACTCCATGATAATAGTGGTCTTAAAATGATAATGAAGATGATAATAATAATAGTGGTGGTGGTAACGGAGACGGAGGCTATTTAGCTTTCAATGTGTACACGATGTAAAAGAAGCAGCAGCAGCAGTGGCGGCAGTGGCAGCAACAAGAGAGGAGGACGAGGCAATCAATAAAGAGACAACCAGACATCAGCGCCAGAATGGGAATACAACTTTTATGTACAAGACAAAAAGGCGGAGCTAGACTGAGAGTTAGATCAGATTAAAAGAGAGAGATGGATGGAGAGAGAGAGAGAGAGAGCTGTACAGGAGAGGAACACACGCCAATCAATCATTCATCCACAGCGCTCGACTTGGCAGACAAATCCAAGATCCTCTCGGGATCGTCGAAGACCCGTTTTTTCGGGCTGCTACCTTTTCGTCGACGCGAACTTGATCCGGAAGAAGAAGATATAGCCCTGGTGATGGTGGGAACGGAAACAACAGCACTAGCAGCAGCAGCAGTTGTCGAGGTGTTGGAATGATGACGCTCCCTTGAAGTAGCGTCCGCCTCCACCGTAACCACCACAGGGACAGAAGGTACTGTCGCCAGCACAGTTGGGGCTGTTGAACCGACAGGGTTGTCGTTGGAGGTGTCAGAATTCGACTCAGAGGCGCTACTGATTGGTTGGTAGGGTTCTTCTTCTTCTTCATCCTCCTCCTCTACTTCCTGTCCCTCCGTCTCATTCACGACCTCGTCGTCACGGTCGATTGTAGGTCGTCTAACAGTGGTGAGGTCTGAGGCCTCCAGAACAATGGGTGGAGAGAGCCGGAGAAGCGAGGAAGCCGCCTCCTTCTCCTCCTCCTCATTGCCCTTTGAGACGATGGAGAAGATTCCGGTGGAATTAAGGTATTCAACATCTGGCAGGTCCAAAACGGAACCCTCTTCCCAGCTTTCGTATTCCTCGAAGAGGACGCGTGGAACACGGCGTGGAGGCGCTATAAGACACGGTGGAGGTGAGGTACGCAGCAAATCACTGCGATTTGCACCGCAGGTCACCTCCACGATTACAGCCTCAAGGCACTTTCGAACCACTCGGTCGGCGCATTCAACCACGCAGCCCTGCAATACATCGAATGTTGGCGTCACGTCAGGGAGGGTGGAATTCCACTTGGAAGGGCGAAGAAAATGCGGATGGTGGGCAAATGGATACTAACTTAATTTAAGCAATTAAAAAGTGCTGAATACGGGATTGATAGCGATGGTCGATAAGCGGCGGGGTAGCCTTCCTCCCCACCCCTTCCCCACATGAAATGTGGAGCTACTTCCAGGCAATTCAGCGGTTCCTACTGACGACAAATGGATACCGTCTAAGGGTAATGAAAGCGTGTGGAGCAGGCGGAGGGCCATGAGGACGCTATCCTCACCTCCTCGTCAATAGAGCGCCCCATTTGAGAGTGCAAGGTGAGGTGAGAGTTCATGGGTGCTACAGAAACGACGACGACGACGCAATTGGAGATGGAAAGCTAACTGCTGCCAAGGAGGAGAAGGCGGGAGGGAGGTTTAGTTCAAAGAATAAAATGATTTCATTCAGCAGATCCACTAAAGTGAAAATAAAATTCCATTGTTTCCCTGTTTTCCAGAAACAGGGAGTTCGAGTTAAATGGACGGTCCAACTGCAATACGGAGGGGGGGGGGGGAGGAGTGGAAGGAGGTTGTCCTCCGAGCTGAATCACAGCGCTAAAAATAGGTGGAAGTGCCCTCTCCCCCATTTGAGTAGATTTCGAACAAGCACGCCTGGTGGGCGAAATACCGACTGGGAGAATTAATACCTCCGCACCGTGAAGATCGTCCCAAAAGTATATTCACCCAGATGGAATGTCCACCTACGCCTCAAACCTCATCCTCCCCCACCGCCCGCTCTAACTCGAACAAAGACATGCACAGCTGCGGGGATCTGAATGGTAGGGGAGACTCCAAGACACAAATGCACCAGCCTTCAAGATGAAGGCTTGGATTTGTCGCGCTTAGGCTTTCTCTGATCTCGCGCGCGAACCTGCCACCACGAGGGAGTAGGTGTAACTACCGGTAGGAGTGCCAACAGCCAGGTCCCTCCATTTTCCGTTTGAATTCAGAACTTCAGCCAACAGAAAAGTGGAGAGGGGGGGGGGGGTGAGACGACGAGTTGACGATTCAACTCGAGCATAAAAATTGATCCACGAGCCTGTCAAGCTTGTTTCACAACTCCTCCTTTCGCCTCCAAAAAAGACAACTGCCATGTTGTCGTATACACACAGATCCTCCTTGATTTTCCTGCCCACGGCCACCTGATCGTAGCAAGAATACGTGGACGAAGTTTGTGACAACAAAGAGGCGAGTGTGGAAATAACTAGATTTGCCACAGCCTAGTGAACGCATTCAGCACCCCATACCTGGGAATGGGCAAAGCGCGTTAAATAAGCTTTCCCAGCCAAATCATGCGAATGAACGACAAAGGCAAGCCCTAACACTAGATGCAAGAGCGGTAAAGATGTAGACGACAGTTACTACTAATTAGTGGGTTAGTAGTATATTCACCTCCACAATTGGCTCCTGCTGGAGGCAGCATTCCCGGAGGAGAGCGCCAATCCCCTTGGGCGGGAATGCGGTATCGGGAGGGAGAGGCGAAACCGATTCGCGCAACTGCTCCACCTCCACTTCTTCCACTCCTGGCATCACTTCGCCACAGGCCACGGGCGCGATCTGTTGCAACATACCCGTCACGGTGATGGATTCACACGAGAAGGAGGAGTCCATCACTGATGTCACCTCGGCGAGTTTTGGAGATATGGAGGGCTCCAACAAACAGCCTTCTCTAGTATCCTCCTCTTCGCCCTCCTTCTCCCCCTCTTCCTTAATTTCCGTATCTACATCTACCCGCAGTTGTTCAATTGGGGCCGGTGCATGGGTTAGTGACGACGCCAAGACCTTGGGTTTCCTTCCACGTCTCTTGGGGGTCACAGGAACAGTGTCCTTGGTCAAAGATTCATCTCCAAGAGCAATTTGTTGCTGAAGTTCCGTAAAACTCAGATGCTTGATCGCTGGTGCTGAAATTATTGCTCCTGTCGATCGCACGCGTTTCTTGGGCGATGACAACCCCGGTGTAGGTGGTCTCGGCAGGGACGACCTCACAATCGAGGGCTTCCTTGATCCGTGGTGAAAGACGGTTGTTACTGCTGCCGTTGTTGAAGGAAGCCCGGCCGGTGAAAGTGATTTTAGCAAAGGAAGGACTGCATTTAAACTTCTTTCACGAGGACGTTTGGATGACATTGTTGATGACTGACGAGGAGGCGGAGGCGTGGCGACGCTAGAAGTGTCTTGTTTAACGGCCTCGGGAACCGCCTCGTCCACCCATCGACGCTGGACGGAGTCGGCGAAAAGTCGCCCAGATTCAACACCGCAGGAAATAATCTCCCCGAGACGGGTTGCAGAATCAAGGTGAAGAAGGTGCTGGATTGTGAAAGTCCTCGTAATTGCGGCCCGTAGCGAAGAGGTTTCAGAGTGTCGCAAGAAGTAGTAAGGCTGTAAGAGAGTATGGAAGGTGACTGGTGATTAGGCGCCTGACAATACCACCCAGCGAGTAAGGGGGTGGCAGCTGGTGATTGCACAACGCAACTTCGTGGAATTACACCGCGTACTCGCAATCTGTTGCATGACGTTTGGTCAAAGGGTAAATGTGCCGGCGCCTCCACACGGAGGCAGCGACACTTCTTCCATCAGCGAATTGCTTCAATGTAGAGCCGGAAGCTTCAGCATTTACAAGGGAGGGGAAAGAACTACCAATTCTTGAGTCGCTCAACTACCTCTGCTGACGGCCAACACAAAAGATCAACAATTGGGAGTGACAAGACGAGTGGCTCACCTTAGTGATGACCTTGAGGTAGGCTGGAGCAATGTCTTTGACAATCAGTTCACCCTCCTCGTTTTTGGTGACAAGACGCTCACAGAGGAAGACGAGTGGATGATGGTCAGTGGGTGGAGTGGCCATCTCCTCTGGTGGAAGTACAACGGCTGGGAGGTCAGCCGGTCGGCCGAGTCGATAGGTGGTGGGGGAGAGGACACAGCAACGTCCACGAAGGGTGGAAAGGGGAAGGACGAGACGACTTGTCTCATCGTAGATCAACTCGCGTGGATGCCAGGTGTTGAGCGAGGAAGATAGACTGGAGGGAAGATCGTAGGGTCGTAGAAAAGCCCCGCCTTCCATCCAGCTTCTTCCGCTGTTGAGAGAGAAAGCCGCCAAGTGATGAGGTGAACCTTTTGGTGAATTCTCGCGTTAGAAACTCAAGAGTAATGGTTCAACAGAATACGTTCCACACTCGCCCAACAGGATTTTAAACAAGATGTTGGTTCAAAATCATCATGTTACCAACAAGAAAACAATTTAAGCAACAGTGGAAGCATGAAGAAGTCGGTTTAGCTCACTTAGCATCCTTCCACAGCTGGTAGATCCTCACAACCACTGCGTCGGAGGCCTTCATCAGTGGCGGCCTGGACGAAAACTCCTCAAGCAAATTCGTCATTGGCGTGGCGGTCGTGGCAGCCTCGTAATCCCTCCGATGAATTATGGCAAATTCATCAGTGAGAAATTGCTCTTCATCCGTTCCAAGGCTCCAGTACTCGTGGCGTTTTGCCGTCTTTGAGAACACCGCCGCAACATTGTGAACCTCTAGTGAAGCTGCTAGGGTACGTGGATAGTCCTTCGTCAGCCCGTCCAGCTCTAGACAGTTTGGACAGTAGTAGACAGGGCAGGAATCAGGTGACGTATCAGCAAGGGAGAGGAGCCAAGAAATGTTGTGGCCTCCAGCGGCTAGAGCTCCAGCCAGAGCAGCTCGACAACGAGTTAAACGGAGGGGAGAGGCAGCAGGCCTTGCAGTGGATGGCCATGTGGCACCCAGAGGTGTGGCTGGGGCGGCTAAACGCGGGTTCATGTCGAGACAAAGGGCCCACCACACGCAAGGCAGGTGTTGGCGAGTGACACAAGCGTTACACTGAACCATTACATGTCCTCCCTCCACACGGAAACCACAGAGACAGCTAATCACCTCGGCACCGCGTTCAAGAGTTTGTCGATCGACTTTCTTGCGGGCGACCCCACTGCCAGCTATGATTGGACCCGAGCCCTTCGCAGAACCGGAAGCTAGACCAGCGGAGGGGAGAGGAAGTTGCTTCTCTGGATGGTTCGCTACGTGCTCCGTCTGGAAGAGTGGAATAAAATTAAAAGGCAAAAGTTCCACCCGAGCTTTTCAGATTTCTCAGTGTTTGAGGTCGTCCACTCACCCGAAGTTGATTGTACAACGATCGAATCTGCTGCAACTGTTTTCCCACCCAACTTCGTCTACCAGCATAGGCTTCCCACGTTCGGAAGAGAAATTCAAGGAGTAGATCCAACTGTTGGAAGCCTCCCGTTACGATGCCCAAACGTGGGACAATGTCTCGCAGACACAAAGGTGGCCACCCCGACCCACTGGGGTAGAACGGAGCTATCTTAATCTCCGATTGAGAAACGATATCGGGAGAAACCGTTCCGAGGATTCGTGGTTGGATGGAGTTTTCGCATTCCAAGGCGCTCTCGAAGTTGTTCAACAGCCCCGAACCACAGATAAATCGATAGAACTCGGGACAGCGCAGAGGGCAGGGAAGGGAGAGGAGAGGAGAAGTCAGTCGCGTGGAAGGATCGCAAAGATCCGAAGTGTCCAGCAGACGCGAGTACAGCTGATGAACCCACATCTTTTCTTCGTGTTCTTCACCTTCCTTATTTCCCACATCTTCCACAATTTTGTCGGCCAGAGATGAGAAGGGGAAGAATCCGGTTCTGGTCGGTAGCTTCGCAATCTGTCCAGCAGCTAAAAATTGTTGAGTTTTCGTCAAACCCAAGTTGATGCTTTCCGGAGAATTGGCTTTCGCTTTCCGTCGAGAATAATGATTTCGGAGAAGGAAAAGACGCAGTTGATGGCTGCCGTAGATCAAACGATTTTCCTCATTCTGGTGAATAGAAAATGGTGGGAGACGCAAGGCCGTTGGAGGAGTAGAAGGATGGATTGGGAAGAAAGTGGAGAAGACTCACCTCTTCCATCTCCCTGCGTTTGGCCGGGGGAGGCGAAGAAGCAGACGATGCTGGACGTCTGCCGCGCTTTGACTTCTTCAATTCTCGCTGCTTAGAAACCTCCAGGCGTTCCATGGGTTTTACACACTCTACTTCATCCTGCGCTTCTGGACTAACCATGTAAGGCGGCTTGAGTTCAATAAAGATGTCCGGAGCTCTGAAAAAAGAGGACGGAAACTAGATAAATTTTCACTTTAGACAGAAGGTAGAAGACAGTTTAAGACAGCTTACATAGCTATGGGTTTCTTATCCTCCAGGTCCACGAGAATTGGTTCTAGGAGGGAAGGAAAGCAAAAAGCTGAAATTGAAATAAAAAGGGCGATTAATCTTTCAGGGGGATCATTACCTTCAACAGAAGGACGCGGATGTTTAGGAGGACGTCCACGGGGTTTGGGAGCTGCCCCAGTCAAGGACGGCACTACCGCCTTCTTAGGTTTTCGTCCACGCTTGGACGGAGGAGCAACCTCCTCCTTCTTTACATCTGCCGCCTCTGCAGTGACGGTGGTAGTGGTTGGATTGGAGGAGGCAACTTCATTCCCTTCAACCATTGAAAGCATTGACGTGGCGTTGATTGAGGATGCAACCATGCTAGCAAAACCCATGGCTGCGGCCTAGAATGCAGGGAACGATTTTGATAGAAAACACTCAGATGAAAAGCACTTCCACTTTCCAGCCATTCAAAAAACAATGGGGTCCTTTTAAACACTTGAACCGAAAAAAATCATGTACCTCTCGTCTTGGTCGCCCATTCGGCGAGTACGTCTTTTTACTCGGTCGTCCTGAAACGCGAAAAAAGAGTTCGTTCACAATTTTTTAAGTGAAAAGGAGAATCTCGCGCCAATGAAAACACAGCAATCACCTCTAGGTCTTCGTTTCCCATTCGGCGTAGAAGCAGCAGCAGCCGCCGCCGTCGTCGTCACTGCAGCAATAGTGGGGATTGGCACATCTCTCTGTTGATGGTGGTCGCCGTGAGGGGAAACCGATTCCGAGGCATTACTATCATCTACGTACTGGATGCCGAATTCTAAATCGTTGTCCTCGTCTTCAGTATTGTCATTGTGAAGGTGGTGACTGGCAGAAGCGGAGGCGGTAGCAGTGGAAGATGTCATTTCACCACTTTCTCCACCACTGCCAACGACCTTGTAGCGCTTGCGAGGGGGTAAAAGGGGTGAAGCGAGAGTGGGGGATGCTTGAGAAGCCCCTTGCTCAAGGGCGGCGGTGTCGGTGGCTGAAGGCGGCGTTGAAGGTAATGGTGGCGGGAGTGATGGTGAGGTGGTTCGACGTTTACGATTCCCACTGCTTCGACTTTTGCCTCCAACACCTCGGTTAGGAGAGAGGCTGAATGGGTGATGAGGCTCCTACAGAATGACAACATTAATGACCCTCTAAGAGGACGATTGGTTAATCGAGTAGCTTCGGACAGATGGATGGGTGGATATCTGCCACTTCCACTACATAAACACTTGCAGCGCACCATGCACCGCCTTGATTTCGGGTCATATCTGCTACCGTCGACGAACAATGGCGGTTTAAAACGAGGAGTCGATATGTAAACCTCCACTGAATGAAATCAGAAAGACTAACAAATGTTCAACTAGTCTGTAAAAGGTGACACTTACTTCAACCCCAAGCATGTCAGTGCAGGAAAACACTTTTAAACCGCCAAACTCACATTCTTCTCTGCTACTCCACCTTCAATGAAATTAGATCCAATTAGCTCTGATCCTGGTGTCGAAGATGCCACACCAGAGACCTCTAAACCCATTGCCACGGAATTCTGCTGGGATAGGTGATGGTGAACCGACTCGGCTTCAGTGAAGGATCCAGAGCTGGCCGGCCCCGTGGAGAGGCGTCGACTTCGGCCACGAGTTGTTCTTTGGTCGGAGGTCTCATCACCGGTTCCACTAGAGACAATTTGGAGCGACAATGGGGAAGTCGGGTCCGCAGCTGATGAAGTCATTGATGTGAAATCGCCTCCAGGACCCGAGGGACCTCCAGATTCCTTCAGACGACAGGCAAGGGAAATTATAAACATCACTCGTAAGCTTGGAGTATAATCTCGATCGGATGTCTTTAAACAACTGACTTCCGCAATCCTTCCAAACAGTACATTTTGTCTGTTCGCAGGAGCAGTGACCAATTTCAACATTCCAGCTGTTGAGTAACACATAGTTTGAGATGCCTAGAAAAATGTAAATACTTCTTCCACCACTCAACTCCCTTCAGCACATCATCTTCAACATGTTTAATCTCAGCGTCAGTTTAGGTCCCTCACTTGTGGCCAAGGTTGGTAAAATCGCCTTGCGTGGGAGGAATTTCTTACTCCCAAACCATTTAGAGAATTATAGAACATTCGGTAGCTAGCCGAGTTCTCTCCCTTTTTTCGTGCATTCATAAATGCGTTGAGCAGCTTGTTGTTTGAAGCGACTAAATTCACACCAAAGCATAAATTTTATTTACTAGGGAGCGCTAATGCAAACGCTTTACCAAGGTAACCGTGGCAATGAGAACAAACATTTTGTGCATACATAAGTACCTTACACTTCTGTTTCAGAGTACAGTAATTAGAAAAACCCACACCACTAGCTTATTTCTCACAAGTCGACAGACAAGCTCTCAAACTGGGTCAAGAGATTAAACCCACGCCGACGCAAGAGTTCGTGTAAGCAAGCATGAGTAAATAGAGGAAATAAGTTGTCTACCTGACTAGCTTTCATCATGGTATCCCAGGTGAGAAGGGCCCTTAGCTCTCTCGGCGTTCCAGCCAAATTCCGGCGCGATTTCAATGGCGTTTTCACGGGCACAACGGGTTGCGCGGTCAAAACATCCGTTGTGTTGGTGGTAAGATCCAACAAAATCGGGGATTTTGTCACTGTTGGATCTGCCACCGGGATTGATGATTTCGGTGGTCTTCCTCGACCACGTTTGCATGGAGAGGAGATAGCAACATGATTGTTGATACTCTCATTATTACCACAGAAGCCGTTCGGTTCATTGGGGATAGGAGCACTGGTAGGAGGAACAGAAACGGGAGGAGGTGGAAAAATAATGGAAGATGGAACATCCAGCGGTTGAAACAGTCTTGTTACCGTAGTTGACGGCTCCAGGATGCCATTCACAGCTTTCTAAATTAGGATAAGAAACCCAGAAACATAACACAGCCAGGACTAGACTAGGACAATAAATAAACTTACGAGAAAACGCCGGACACATCGTGGAGTGAGCTGTTTTAATGGCGTGGTGGGGGATTTTAATCGGTTGGGTAAGCCGCCAAAAGGGAGACAGAGCGGCGTTAGCGATGCAACTGCAGGCCTTGGAGCCGAAAAAAACGAAGATGGCTTTCCATGGCGACCACCGCCACGACCCTTACCACCGCGAGGAGGTGACACAGATGGCAGTAGTGGTGGGGGTTTTGATGGGTCGGTTGCCATGGGAATGGGATGGAGTTCGCAGGGGCCGACGCCACAATTGGATTGGAAGATGTCCGAAAGTTCATTCATATTCGCGACAAAGGATTCATCAATAACAGCGCGAGTTCGACGACTCGATTTGATCAATGCCTTACGCTCTCGTTTGGCTAGCTTCCTTGGTCGATCAACTTAAAACAGATGGGAAACCCGATGCTGCACCATTGAACTAGTTTAACAAACCTTAGTCAACTTGCTCATTAAAAATAAAGACCAAAAACCGGCATAAGTATTAAAGGGAGTTCAGGGCATTTAAACAAATTTTGAAGATAATTAAGTGGTGGAAATGGGGGAAATAGTGTAACCAACACGAAAATTCCAACACAACCTACTGGTATCGTTTGGAGAGATGTAAGCAGGGTGAGAGGTTGAGTTAGTAGGTGCTCCAGCTAAAAGAGAGGTCATATTCGGTATGATCGGTGCGACAAATTGATGGAAGGATAGAGAACAGAGGCATTATACCGGTATCAAGGGGTTGAACAGGCTTGGAAATAAAAGCAGGAGTAGGATGACCCTGGTATACGTCCTGGTCGCTGCTCGATGTTCGAGAGTGATCTGGTGATAGGGAGTGGTTGTGATTTTCCCGCGAGGGAAGGGAAGGAGTGGGAAGAGGTGCAGCCGTAGGTGATTTAGAAGGAGGTCTGCCACGACGACCAACACCTTTGACGGGTGTCGGTGGAGGTGATTTGGCAAGACTGCCACCACTGCTACCTCGCCTTTTACTCTTTTTGGGTCGCATCGTGTCGAAAGCAAATCTGCGTATGAAGGAGACTAAAATGGCTCTGGATATCAAACAAGGCACAAGCGCATCAAATGAGTCAGAAAAATGTGTTCAAAAATGAGAATAGGCAGAACACATGAAATAAACCACCAGTAAAGATTGCAGCACAAATCACGAGTAATTGTGGAAGCAAAGGGGGAAATGACGCAACGAACAAATAAAATATCAAGTGTCCCAAGGGTGTCCAAATATGAATAATGGTGCGGTAAAGAAATAGTGTCACACACCAGATGCAGTAAATAAGTGCAAATAATGCACGTCCACTCGGTCAAAATCCACCTGATTAAAAACACCCTCAGTTAACTGCAACCAATCGCGCGCCAAAACATGTAATCAAAAAGGTTAAACAAATCTAATAGTGCATGCAAAATATATACGTAAATTAACTTAACATTGCAAAAAATTAAAAGAAAAAAGAGATTATAGTTTTTGCAATTTTTTTAATTAGAAAGGTCTAAGGGTTTAAAGAATAATTAGTAACAACGTAATCAATAAAGAGCCTTAAAAAGTTACCTAGGCTAATTTATAAAGCCCTTAAAAACGTTCGATAAAAACAATTAGGGTTTAGCCAGTAATTAAAAAGTAATCTCAAGGTGTAGCCAAACGGCACTTTTTAAATGATAGCCGATTGTGTCTCTAGTCCACCACAGACCATCGCTTTATGAGACAACAGCACAATAGAGAATTCATTACAAACTTGCGAAAGGGCTGAGCAACCACCGATATTCCCTGAAGTTCATGCCGCCGGCAGAAGTTGTAGTCTATGATGACCTGATGTTTGCCTAATCAAGCGTTGAGCTAAACAACCAGCCAAAGGATAACTGTTTTTTCAAGATTAATCTTTACAACAGCAAAGTCAAACCAATCCGTATTTGTGTCAAACGTTTTTAAGATATTGGCTACAACTTTTACAAGGCCGAAGGTGTCTAATTTTAAATAAATTCATTTAACTAGCGTAATAAGCAATATTTACGAAAAGGGAGCAAAAATGAGCATTTGCTGTTTTATTAAATATGGTTAATGAGAAGTATTGGTCAAATACTAGAAGATAAATCTTATCAAAATTGGCCTAAAAGGATTCTTATATTTGAGCTAATAAGCCACAGTGTGAGCAAATGAAACTGATTTAGGAGAAAAGAAGTGTGACGGCAAATGGAGAAAAGCAGTTTTTGTAGGCTTAGCGCCCTGACAATTCCCTGAAGACCAGCATGTACATATTTAATCTGCAGAAGGGGTAGGGCCTACTGGCCTGACCCGAAGGCCAGCCCAAACGTCGAAGTACCATCGCCAGTACGCAAAGTCCCTCTTTCCCAAAACCAACTGCTATATTAACACCCAACCCATTACATAGCCATCTCCTCTTTTTAGCGTCATTTCCCGCTCTCCCCTCGACCAACCCCCCGCCTCAGTTATCACAACGAAGTCAGTACCATAGGGTAACGCCCACCAGCCGGCCTGTTAGTCATGAAGAGAAATACTTGACAGCAACGTCACTGATGCCTCTTGGCAAATCGACTTAATCAAGTTTTGCATCGTAATTCCCTTTCTGCTCCACAAAGTTGCATCACCCAGTAGTTGAATTTGGGTAGATGTCCCGCCACTTGAAACTCAATGAATGGCGATTTTTGGACTGGTCCACGGCAATGCTACGAACTTCTGCCTTCAACGCTAACATTGGGGTGTAGACGCAGGGTCTCTGACATATTCCATTACGCTGCCGTAATTACAGCCCCCAGTTACGCATCTAAGGCAAACGGCAATTACGGTTGTAATGCACGTCTTTTTACCAACTGATAGAGCTTATTTTGACGTCAAAGACCACTTTGGACTTTACAGTGGCAGCAACGGCGTGCAAACTCGATCCAAAGTGGTACCAACTTCGAATACTTGGCCAGATCACTGAGATAATCACCATTCTTGGGAATAGACGCCTAAGAACGGACCCATTCAATAGAAAAGTAAACCAGATTCTTAACATAAATCCAGCGTTCTGCATTTATTCTACCTTTCTGATTTACACACATTAGAGAGCCACTTATCAGTCCGTCTGGGTTTTATACAACGAAGTAGATGCGATGTCATTCTGCGTCAACAACACCAAGTTGTTCAATTCTGGCGTCGCTTTAACTACACGCAGTCTTCTTATGAAAAGCAGGATGCAATGATCCGTCAAGAGTCGACCTCACTTTAACCACCCAATTGGCGGCAATTCTTCGCAGACTCATCCGTTCACACCAACCGCCTTCTTCGTGTCGAGTTAGGACATGGTAGTTAACAACAAAGGTCAGAATTGTTGGCCTGTCATTATTTAAGAGCCTTGTGTCTTCCTAGAAGTCGCAGTAAGCCGTCTCACTACGGGAACTGCCTCATAGGAGTTGAAATCCATGGACGCTATGTCGGTGGGCCATACTACCGGGATAGGCCAAAGGGGAAATCCCAATCCAAGAAAATCAAGAGGCTGGAGGATGTGGTGGTCAAGCAGTATATCAAATCAGTGAAGCAGATTTTTATTTCTAAGGCTTCTTGATTGAGTAAAATTTGACGTCTCTCTAACCTAAAAAAAGAGTTTGGCTTCCGAGCACTACTTAAACGTAATAGTAGCATGCTCCGTACGGAATACTTCCCAGTGTGCTTATTGGCAGTATCTTGCGGCTCGAATTTTATTTTCAAATGTGGCTTCCGCAGCTATTTTCTCGATATCACAAACAATTCATTTGCATTATGTGAAGTCTATCATGGCATTGCTACTGAGTAAGTAAATAAGTAGCATGAGCAACCGTAAAAAATTTGTTTGCCTGTTTTGTGTATAATCGTCAGGAAATGCATTCAGCTGTAGCCATTGGTGGCAGAATACACTCTTCATTAAAATTACAACCGGAATCATTGTCAGCCACATTCAAGAGTCAAATGGGTAAGAGGCAGGACTGTGCTACTTAATTCGTCCATAAGTAGCATGCGAGCAATATTGCTCACCATCTCTTTAGCCCCATGTGAAGACTACTGCTGATCAATTCCCGTCGACTCTATGGCATTGTAGGTTCGCGGTTTGCTGGCCATCAGCTCCGCTCGTCCTTTTATAATTCCTTCTCGGTTCCCCAACTCAAAACACCACCTTGGAGACAGAATTCACAGTTTCTTTACTTTTATTGGAACAATTATCATACCCTTGTCATGCGCGTGAAGTCGACTTAGCGAGGCAAGAGTGGCTGCGCAATCCTTTAAGGGTAATTCTGTTGATTGCACGGATAATCCTCGTTCATCAAAGTGCCATCGATGAAATTGGCAGTAGAAATGCGGTCTATTTATAAAGACAGTGCCTCTTTCTAATACATGACACACTTACAAGCCTCTTCTCCAGGGGCTGCTTTTGCCTCGCCCCTCTTGCCAAAAAAGCTATCATGTGGTGTGTGTAAGCTTGCAACCACTGCCTCAAGTACCGTGGATCCACGTGAGCGTCACCTTGCAACAACCACGGTCACACACACAACGGGTCAAAATCGAAGGATTTGATTTGGCCATCACTCAGTAGTCTACTTAAATGTGGAGTCTACTAACTGAGGCACCTGATCAGAGAGTCCGCTCAAAAGCAATTCCATGGAATACGAGACTCGATGGCCCTGATTGGAGTCAGCTCCACTGAGTGAGCGACTGATACACTAATGCCTCTTGCCATATCAAAATGATTTAAAGTTTCTTCTGGTTTGGGAACCAAATTCAAGGCAGAGAGTTGTGCCAGCCATCAAATATGTCCATATTTGGAAGGGAAAACGCTGAACTAATAGCAGGTTTACGCCAGTGAGAATGGGATTCAGCACAGTTTTATGGGGGTGGGGCTTCACTTCAGTTCCACCTTGTCACGCAATTAAAGGCTAGTTATATTTGACGAAAATTAAAGAAATGCGTAGTCGCTCTAAATTTCTGTTTGCAAAAGGATAGTATTCGATAAATCTCTCGCGGTGTGTCATAATTGATAAACGTTGATGAAGTAAATGTATAAAATGAGTAAGTACTACTTTTAGAATTGCCATTTCTTATCTTATATTTTTAAAAAAGGCATATTGCATGATTGAATTGCATATTATTGGGTTTCGCTCATTTATTTTTGGTTTCTGTATAAGCTGCCTGTTAATGCCTTTATAATTAGTCATGCGTTTAAGACTAGATAAACATCATAATTAAAAATAATAAGTTTT